ACCTTTATTATGATTTGGAACCCAACTTTCACCCCGGCCCTCTTCTTGGGAGTGATGGGATATGCGCGCTTCTTAATTTCGCTTTGCTCGTTGTAAATACGTCCCCACTATATACTATCTGAGAGCCTGGCACAGGCTAGAGTAGCTGGAACTTTACGAGCTAAAACGGAACGAAAAATATTGATCACATATTCGGGTCTTCCCTCCCCGCCAAGGGACGTTACTGGTAAGAACGTTTTGATTCATTTTGCTGAAAAGAATTATCAAATATCATTATACAATGTTTTCTAATTCTTGCAACTGTAAACGGGTTAATAGCTGTATAAAATCAGGCTCTGCAAGTGAGACACGTTCACACTAGACTAAAGGATTCTGCGGGACTACATACATTTGTTTGAAACTATTTCAGACATTTATACCCTGTTTTAGACGGTTTTAGATTGTTTGCGAGTGGTTGTAGATGTTTTTGAGGTGGTTGTAGATGGTTGTAGGTGGTTGTTGATTTTTTTGAGGTGGTTGTAGGTGGTTTTAGGTGGTTGTAGATGGTTTTAGGTGGTTTTAGGTCGTTCCATGTTTTAGTAACTACGGGCGACTAAGCCAGAAGTTTAAGTCGCCAAGGAGAAAATGCTAGTCGCATGGGCGACCGTATCAGTCGCAATTTCGAGCCCTGAACGGACTATTCTTTGCACCTAAAAACCACCCATCATTTCAACATTAGATATCATACAATGCAATTCAGGCTTGTGTTTATGAGAAAAACCACTGAATATATACATGTACAATGTGTAACAACCAATTCAAACAGATACAAAGCCACACAATACGTAATAGTCAGTCACAGTAAGTTATAACACATTACATTTTTATAAAACCTCTAGTAATGTATAGTGTATATTATTTCAGATACAAATTTCAAGAACTTTTTGAGGTTGATTTCCCAGTAAGTAGGCAGTAAATAAGAACCTTATCAGCCTGAACCCCAAAATTACTGGTATGACTACAGCTATTTGAAGGGGGGTTGTCCGAAAAAGTGCACAACAATCTTGAAAGGTACACTGTACTCTAAGTGGTTTTGAGTTCACTGTTCTCCAAAATTTGAAAGAATGGCAAGGGAGGCAATGGACGTATGTTTGCGAGTGCTAAAGAAAAGCAATAAAAGTTAAAGTTCGACAGTTATAGTATGTCAGGAACAGTGTAATGTGTATTGATCATATCCCATATGGGGATTGTCGTGTGCACATTAAGGGGAAGGGGAAGGGGGAATTTGGGCGTGCAAGGGAGAAAGGAAAGAAATGTTTCTTTCCTTTCTTCCTCGCGCATCCAAATTCCCCCTCCCTTTCCCCTTTTAACACCTGCCAAGCAAGCTACTGAATACAGGTGCTTACTGTATGACATATGAAGGCACACACAATGTAAAAGCAGGGGAGGCATGTGTTTTGGGCAAAAGTATATATAAGAGAAGAATAGGTAGCAACATAGTTAGTATGGTAGCAACAAAGACGTCAAGTCCAGTGATTGACAAAGGGTTGGAATAATTATCTTACATTATACATTGCAATGTTTATCTTTGTCTGCTGACGGTAAGAGTGTAGAATAATATTCACATATTAGTCAAAAGAAACATGCATAAGACACTTGCAACTTAATTTTTGCCAATACGGGATGCAAAATGGTCACATAAAAAGCAGCATCTTGGATAGTTTGGGAACTTTATAAAAGTAGCCAGTGTACAGACGCCCCCTCCCCTCAAAAATAGATGGGGAGAGAGACGTCTGTGAATTGCTGACGTAAAAAGTGTTCTGATTGGTTTGCATGTTAATACTGTGACGTACGGTAAGTAATTTACATGTTACTCACTAGAAATTAATGATGAATTAAGGTTAGGGTTAGTGGAGTATTGGGCCAATCTGGTCTGATCCAGGCTTTATCAACAGCATACACGTATATGAAATGCAATACATTTAAATATCATTTTACTCAAACAATGGCTGCTTTTTAAATTTGGCTGATCTTACAATTAATATCAGAATAAACATAACAGGCATTCATGTAACACTTTAAAATTACTGTAACTTCTAAGGGAGTCTAGTACCACATGAAGGATCTAAACATTACAGTGTAGGATGCTGGTCCTCTAGGGGGAAAATGGCAGATTTGGTCTCACTTAGGATATTCAGGATACAATAAACAGTAGAAAACCACTAAATATATTTTTATCCATACAGGTACAGCTGATGGTTTTGCATAAAGGAATAATATCCTCATAAGAAATAATATCCTTATAAAACAAACCAATATTCTGTCATACTGTGTTGAGGACAGCATTCAAAGCCAATATCTCAGTACAGTCTAACCTCCCTTTACGGACAACTCGGTCTATAATACGGACACCTCTTTATTATGGACAGTTCATTTGGTCCCAAAAATGACAAAAAAGATACATTCCCTACTTCTATGATATGGACACCTCTGTAAAGCGGACACTTGGTTCTGTCCTTTTGGTGTCCATATTAAAGAGGTTTAACTGTAATAAAATTAATAGCCCATTTCCTCAAATAAGCACCCATGCTCTAATAAGCACTCTAAATAGTTATTTAGCATTTTTCCTGAAAAGTACATACTGTACATGTACATGTAGCCCATAGCCTACAAGGATACATTGTATTTTGTCATCGATCACACTCTTCCTTGAGTAACCAAACTTCAAAAGAACACTTCAAACTTACAATCCACGAAGGGAGATATTGTCCAGCAATAAATTACCTGCTGTATGTTCTCGACAACATACTTCGATACCAGGAGAAAATCAAGAAAAAAAATTGTTCTGTATGTGTAATATGCTGCACAATTACTGGATACCCAACTGACTACAAAGATTTGCAACCTCTTTAGTCTTTATAACTTTTGTCGAGATGTACGGAGAACAGCAATCACACTACCTCTGTAGAGGCTCTTTCAGGACGTTTCTAGGCGGATAATCAGTAATCGTGCGTAGTGTGTGTGTGTGCGCATGAGTATGCAAAAACTACTTAAGTTACTTTGGCTACTCTGTATTACATATCTGAACTGTTAAGTAATTACTGTATAGCAGTAATGTAATCATGTATCTATATGCACAGTGGCCCAGAAGGGTCACACATGCAAATTAAAAATGTTGCTGCAAATTAAAAATAGGACATGCAAATTAAACATTGTACATGCAAACTAAAAATATTACAAACATGAAACATGAATGGGCCGAAGGCGGTAAGACCAGGTCGCACGGCTCGGACCAGGTCCTCATCACTCATACTGTGTGCGCTGGACTTTTCATTTTTAATTTGTATTGATATGTTTTCTATTTTCAATTTGCAGCATAATTTTTAGTTTGCATGTACTATATTTAATTTGCAGGTAATATTTTTAGTTTGCATGTACAATTTTTAATTTGCACGTTAACCCTTGCGAAATGGAATTGAGAATTCCTAGGAATTCCTAGGATTTTCCTAAGAATTCCTAAGAATAAATTCTTAGGAATTCTTAGGAATTCTTAAGAATTCCTAGGAATCAAGGTGTGAAATTTCACGGTAATTGGAACATGGAATTCCTAAGAATTCCTAGGAATTCCAAGCTTTGCTCACCCATGAGTTGGCTTGGAAAATATTCCTAGGAATTCTTAGGAATTCCTAGGAATTGAAAGAATATAAACAGAATGATTACTTCTTAGGAATTCCTAGGAATTTCCTAGGAATTCCTAGGAATTCCTTGGAATAGCTTGGAATAGCTAGGTCAATAGGGATATAACAAATCAACCTGCTGCCGGAATTAAGGGATATTTGAATCAAAAACTGATTTGCATTTAAACCCTTAGAGCGGTTTTCACTTGACTGTCGTAAAACCAAAACCAAAGTAAATACACTAGCCAACCAAAGGGCGTAGTAAAACCAAAACCAAAACCAAAACCAATCCAGCTTTCGACAGTCAAGTGAAAACCGCTCTATGTTAAGGAAGTTGATACTAGAAGTTGCTATTTTGCTCTCTGAACCAGAAATCCATAAGGCAATGTACAAAAACTGAAACAATGTTTATTCCAGCAATAACTGAAAAATAGCTCTCCATGTTAACAAAAAATACTTCTTCCGCTTTAACTTGACTTAAAAATTTCACTGTACATTTCACGGAGCCGGGGGATTTCCTTGGCTGTTATCAACGTGGAAGAAAAAATGGAAAGAAAATGGAAGAAAAATAGAACCAAAAAGAAATCCCTAGCTGTTTGATTCCCTGCCTACTTGTTGTATTAATATCCGCCAACTTGAAATCTTAGTGACATCCCTACCTACATGTTTAGACAACACATAGATATACATGTAGTGTAAAGCAAACTATCGCTATAGTCATGATTGAAAAAAAAAAAGTAAAACATAACCTGTTCAGGTGGAATCTCTAGATAGTGAGATAATGTAAAGTAACATATACCTAGTCATGACTGAAAAAATATATAGATAAAAACATACCCTGTTGGTGGAATCTCTAGATAGTGTTTGTTTTTAATCTAAATGACAACATCAGCTGAATATTCTCTTTTTCGTAATTTATTTTAGTCAAATCACCACATTCCACATACATGCATGTAAATAAACATCTTCAAATAATCAATACAGTGCATGAATATGGAAAAAAAAGCTAAATGACTGCAGCCTTCTGAACTGAAGGTCCAAGTCACATCAGGCAAGTGCTAGTGCTAGTTGTTTTTGACCTTACTTAATTGCAGCGATTATTAAGATTACATGTACCAGAAGCATTTAATATACAACCTTATGCAACTTATACTATGAATTAAAGTTCAAATGAACAAACCTACCGGCTGTATTCTAATATTTTATATGTAAGTTCAATTCTCAAGTCCTTATAAATTAACTGGAAACTTCATTGCTTCTAACTTGTATAGTAGCCATCGGAAACTTATACTTATTATGCTATTTCTTCCCCTTTTTTATCTAACATTGGTCTTGACAAGTCTGCTATAACCTTGTAGCGCCAGAACATACAGTTTTCAGAGTATTCCATTGACTATTTGCAACAAAGAGTACAGTTATTTCGATCTGCAGTAAACAAAAAGCAGCAAAGAGGGATCAGATCAATGGCATATCTTTGCATGCAATTTGAACTTTATAAGCTCATTTACGCAAAGTTATTAGAAAACATACCTTTCCACATTAATCCAGCTGAGTAAACTCACTTGCAAACATGCTTTATGTGAACACAAACTTCGCAATTGATCAATTTGTCTCGAAAATAACATGGATAATAGAAAGACAGTCTTACGAAAATACTTTGCTGCTAGTCCGCGTGAATTTGAACTGTTCAACCACAGGCAGCCCAAGCGCACTATTTGTGGGTTCGGGCTTCAGAGGTCATTTGGTCGGAATATACTAGCATTATTAGTGTATTATCTGATGCCAAATAAATGCAAAAAGTCTGAAAGATATGAAGTCTTCTTGTTTGTCTATCGGTACTAGTAGCCTTTAAGATAACGAAAATCGATATTTTTTGCATTTTTACATGTGATTCGGGTCCTTATTGATCGAATTTTATCACATGTATTCGAATCTACAACGCTAAGGAAAAAAAAATCATGATCACGCGAAATATTGATTCAAAAAGCTCCCTTACCTTTAGTTCATAGCCACTCTGTGTCCTACGGCTGGTTTAAACGCCGTTTAGTCGACTTTCTTCAGTATTCAGTACTCGATGGAAAGAAAGTCGACTAAACGGCGTTTAAACCAGCCGTAGGACACAGAGTGGCTATGAACTAAAGGTAAGGGAGCTTTTTGAATCAATATTTCGCGTGATCATGATTTTTTTTCCTTAGCGTTGTAGATTCGAATACATGTGATAAAATTCGATCAATAAGGGCCCGAATCACATGTAAAAATGCAAAAAATATCGATTTTCGTTATCTTAAAGGCTACTAGTACCGATAGACAAACAAGAAGACTTCATATCTTTCAGACTTTTTGCATTTATTTGGCATCAGATAATACACTAATAATGCTAGTATATTCCGACCAAATGACCTCTGAAGCCCGAACCCACAAATAGTGCGCTTGGGCTGCCTGTGGTTCAACGGAAGTTCATTTCGCACTTTTCTGTTGGTTCAAGAGTCACACGTGACAAAGTAAATCAAATCGCGCATGTGCCAAAGGCACGCGTGGAAGCCTGGGAAACAAGAAAAGATGGCGGCTAATCTTGCGACGTGCTCCCGTCTGGGTCGAAATAGCAGTTATTTTCAGCGTTAATTAAGATGAAGCAACGCATTTGAAGTATTAAAAGCAAGAGGTAAATGCTGCACCACATTATCAATCAAAGAACTGCGACGAAAAACGTGTTGTGGCCGTTGTTCATGTTGGACAAAGCTCACATGTTAGTGTATGGAAATCTGATCTAACCAAAGACACCTTGATCACACCAAGACCACATCATTTTATTGCCTCAAGGGATCATTCATTGGTTGAATGAACTGTATCAAAAGGAAGCTCAAAAAGCATGCAAAGCAAGGAGCTGTTCGCATGTTCAAGTGGACTTTCGACCTACCAGGAACGGTAAATCCGAGGAACACATTACAGTAAGAAACAGTTTATTATAAAAATGGAAATGATCCTTACAGTTAAAGGGACATTATCTAACTGGTTGAAGAACAAGTACCTGCAAAAATTAAGCCTTGATTGGGAATCGAATCTTGACCTTAGGAGAAATGACATGAATGGAAATAATCGAGCTTATATGAAATGACAATTTTTTTTTGGAAATGTGGATATAGATGCGAATTAAAGTAGAAATGATCCTCGCAGTAAAGTAAATTACTCATGCGGCTGAAAAAGAACCATACAGAAAATTCAGAATAGGAGCTACTTCAATATATTTCGGTATGGTTTTTATATAAGTTTTGCAGAATCGCTTTGTCATCAAATATTGAAAATTAACTTTATATTACTTCATACATCTATATATACATAATTCAATGTTGCTGCTATTGAGGAAAAAGTTTCTTATTCGAGTGGAAGCAAGCAAGATTTGTGTTTTGCCAGAATGCCAAACTTTGTGGAAAGAGAGTAGTGGACTTGTTGTATCCTTATGATCTATGTTTTTCCCTTTCTTGCACTAATTTCTTATATTATATTATATTATTAACTCTTTTCTATTTACCTAAAGAAGTTTTGGTATTGATCCTGTAAAAAAATACATTTCTAATTGTCATAATAATGAATAGGTAGAACTATTGTAACAAAATTGTTTCTAGTTCTTATTGCTGTCACTTGTAGACAGGCCGGGAAGGCCATGAAATGCTGGCCTATTTTTTAGTGTGGGCGGAAAAACCACGCTTCTATGGCCAGACTTACCTTAAAACCCTGGCCTTGACTGGGTTTACCTGGCTTTTCCAGGCCATGCTTTCCTGGCAAGCCCAGCCAAGACCTTGGCAAGCCGGGCTTGCCATGCTTTTGACCGCACTCCTGATGCAAGGGTTGAAGGGAATCAAGACAGCCCATATCTTGTGTGTTTGCCTAATTTCCGTGGAGTTATAATGTGGATAATCAACGTACATTTCAGACTGGAAGTGCACTTCATATTTTTAACGAGACTTCTCATTTCAGACAACATTTTGCACTGAAAGTGTACTGGACATGTAACAGCTTTAAATATTTATTGCCGTAATATGCTGTAATAATGTAATTTAGATAAGTTAAATTGTTATCTTAATTTAAATACTGGTTGGAGGTTTGTGAACAGCATTTGCCACATGTCAGCATTACCAGATTAGGTATTAGAAGTATACATTACCAGTATGTTCTGTATTATAAGTTTAGAATTGTTTCAGTGCAATCACTTAACAAAATTAAAATGTGAAAAAATAAGAAAAGACTACGAAATCTTCTACAATTCTTAAAGTCTTTCTGATTTTTAAACATCCCTGAGCTGAATTCCTAATTTGCATAACTAAGAATTCCTAGGAATTCCCAGGAATTCCAAGCCCAGCTGGCCTGAATTTTTCTATTCCCAGAAATTCTCAACAATTCTTAAGCGTCTAAAATTGTAAAACTTAGAATTCCTAGGAATTCCTAGGAATTCCAAGCCTAGAGTGAGACCTAATTTGCCATTCCCAAAAATTCTCAAGAATTCCAAGCTTATTTGATGAAGGCTGATTTGCATAGTTGGGAATTTTTGGGAATTCCTAGGAATTCCCAGAAAGCTGGGAATTCATTTCGCAAGGGTACTATTTTTAATTTGCATGTGTGACCCTTCTGGGCCACCGTATATATGCTTTATATGTAAGTAATGTAAATCAGTGATGCAAATAAATTAATTTAAAAAAAAAGATTTGCACAACCGATTTTCCCCCTATTCATCCTGTTAAAAAGGTTCCAGTGATTAAAGTAAACATAACATAATTAAACTAATTATCACCCCTTACCTGTGCTAATGGGGCAACAGTGCCTAGATTTCGATTTAGACAATTGGAGAGAAGATTAGTTGAGACCAGGGCTGCAAATAACGGCCGGTCAACGGACAATGTCCGGCCTGATCGTGGACTTGACCGGTCAAACTCCGGTCTTGCCGGTCATTTTGACCGGTCATTTTTGGATATAAACATTTTATTTTCAATAGAGTTGTCGCTTAATGCTCTATAACGCTGCAATGATTTCTTTTTTCTTTGGCGTTTTTTGCTGCTTTGCACTAAACCCTTCTAAGAAAAAGAACACCGCAATAAATTAATTTCATGTCGTCATGTCATAATGAAACGCAACAAAGTGAATAACAAACTGAGTTAAAAAGTAACGCAACGTTGCAAATCGTATTGTACTTTCGGCTTTGCTGTAATCAGCAATGTGACCTTCTTCACTTCTTTGCGAATTCGAAGGAATTCAGGCAAATCGATTGCAATTCTCAACAGGTCGTCCTGTGTTTCTCCGGGAATAAATGTTAGCGCATCGATTAATAATAATTTCTTTTATGTCGAACATGAATCTCGTTTGCAGACTCGATTCCAGAATGGTCTGATAAAAATTTAAGCTACTCAAGAGGGAAGGTCGTCGTCTATCGCGGCGCTAGATTCTCGTTCTTGTAAACAACTTTATGCAAATTTCTGTTGACATTTGAGCCCTTCGCGATAAAATGTTGCGCTATGACTCAAATTTATTTATTGACTTCTGATCATCAACACGCTGTTTGTGGAACAAACTTCTCGCCAATGCAAATCAACTTCTTTGCCGAAAATATCAGCGACGATTCTTCTCTGAGGAAGTGACTTTCGATCACGTCCCAGGCAAGGAAAAAGATCAAGTATCACCAATGTTCATTTCGGAACATCAACGTAAAACAAGCGTGTGCAGATTTTGTAAAATAACCCAATTTTTTTGTTTTTTTTTTTCGTAATTTCTAAAGTTTGCTGAACTGTATGTGTATTCCATTTCCTGAACCTTGGGAGTTTGAAAAGGATTTACACTTCACTTTTTACTTCAAGAGACTTCAGACACCGCCATGCAATGATACTCAAGGTAGAACGTAACTCGAAAACGCGAAAACCGCGGAAAGGAACTCTACAACGTGCGAATACATTTTTCACCAATTTGCTGTCAAAAATGTGAACGTCAATGTAGCAATAACGATCTATTGCCAGCATAATTGGATATTCCTTAGGCAAAAAAAAATATTAGTATTCATTATTTGACCGGCCAGAATCGGGGTTTGTCCGGGCTAAAAAATATTTGGCCGGTCATCATGACCGGCAACCTGCTGTCCGTTGTTTGCAGCCCTGGAGACACTTTTTCTTTTGACATTTTGCCAAGTTAAGGGGGAAAAAAAAGCTTCCCCCAATCCCCTCGATGCAATGTTGTGCTGCTGTCCGCGCTACACTGTACATGTACCCGTACAAAACAACAAACACCGCAACTTTGAATGGAGGGGAGGAGGAGGGATGTGGATTGTTTTGTTCTCCAAAATTACCCCATTTGAGAACAATGTCTCAACAATGTTTACCCTGATTTTTTTTGGCCAGCGAAAATGACTCTTAGGCTAGTGCGTGCTAATGCTACTTGTAGGTGCCAGAAAAAGGCCTGAGAAACTGACTTTCTTCGCACCCTGATCCTTGTGGCCAAGTTCATATACCTGCAAATGTACTTTTAGATAACTAGCAAGTAACATTCTCTTTAAAAAAAAGTTACCTGACTTTCTTTTGGTTTGTGTGTACATCCACCCTTTTTCTCCTTTTCCAATTACCGATCAATTCATCTGAGTCATCTGTGTTATTACCAGTTGAATCACTGAAACCGGTCACAAGGTACATTGTTACCCTTAACACCAGTAAGTGTGAGAGTTGCTCAGTGGCAGTTGCTAAATTACTATTATGAAATTTTTGGATACATCATCACTTATGAAAGTTTAACACACATAGTAACTGGGTAAGATAATAACTACTTTCCTTTTTGTGATTCACTATGATTCAAAGGCTTAAAGGCTATGAACGTGAATATACTCTTTCAGAATTTTTCATTACCTTGTAGATTCACAAAGAACCTCACTTGATAGAATGGGTCATGGATATTACATTTTGCTGTAATTATGCCTGTCAGTGCCACCACCTCATCAATCCAAAGCTCTAGAGATATTTGCGACAATACCCTATTTTCTGATAATTATTACCGGTAATTGATATAGTTTTGTTGGTTATTTACCAGGATGATTTTAAAACAGCACAAAATCCAGGCTATTGATAAACATATTTACAGTGTAGGTACATGTAATGACCTTAGCCTTTTATCACTGAGTGGGAAAATGCTGAGAACACTACAGTTTTTCTATTAAAATGAAAGCATTCACATGGAAACTTAACAACTTTTGAAGCAATTTCAAAGTATCCCAAAAAACAAAGGGATGTTTTTGCACAGAACTTTAAAACCTGTGGAAACAAGCAATGTTGGCATTAATGCTAGGGATGTCTTTAAAGGCCAGGAAACTACATGTACAGTGTTAGATGCTGCCTGTCTATGAGGAATATTGTTATAAACAAGAAACATTGTTCATTTTATTTTAACAACACATGAAAAATGGCTACAGGTAAATAATGCACATGCATGTATCAGTGTTGTAGATAATTAATGACAGAACAAAACTTAATTCTTTAAGGCAAACATATATTTTGGGACAAATACAATGTAATAGAGTAAACTATATTTTTGCTTTACCTTGAACTTCTTTGATTTTCTTCTTCATCAAAATCCTCATCTGAGGAACAATTGGGTGAGTGTGAATTTTTCTTTTCATCTAGACATCGAGAAAGATATCCAGAATCCGCCATCCTTTCCTGTTGAATAGAAATACATGTAAGTGTTTCTTTCACTTACACGTGTCAGTATTCTGTTAATGTCTCTGTTCCTTCGCGGTGCATGTCAAACGCATAACTAAATTATAAAAACAAATAATGACAAGTTGGCATTAATGGGGGAGCACTGCCTTGCGCTAGGTTAGCCTGATGCGACTTCCGGCGATGGCGTGACCAAAGAACCTCACTTATCTCTCCAGCACTAGGAGCTGAATGCAAAACAGCACGTGCTGGATCGGACAAGAGTATCGGTTTGCAGGCGATATTAAATGGCAACGCGGGGGAAGTCGCTGCGCAGACTTAACTGCACTGCCAAGGAGTGTCCCTAGTTTATTTGATCGCATAGCACAAAACAAAGCCCAAACCTCATCTCCAAAGGGAGGGAGGCAGGGAAAAATTTTTACAAGAATCATATACTGAGCGCTAACCTTGCTGAATAACAGAAGCCAAGTGAACTCTGAACACTTGTTCTAGGCTTTTATAGCTAGACAAACGTCTGCTGGCATAGCCAGTAGAAAAGGCTGTACTACAAGACAGCTCAGCATTTCACGTGCGAACTCTTAGCCATGAATAGTGCATTGAAAAAGTTGGCCAATGCTGTGGGTCGTACTGGCCTGCTAAAGACAACAAGGCCGTAAAGTTCTACGCTAGAATGCAATGTATCTTAGAGCTTGCTGACCTTGGCAGCTTGACTACACAACTGCTTTATTGAAAAATAACCGCCATGAAAGGGTTACTGATAACTAGCGTCACGTTCCATTAACTACATTTTACTGGCGTGACAGTAAAATTGTTTTAAAAGAGTGCTTCTCTTCCATACATCAATGCACGAAGAGACAAGACAACAGTGGCTTTAATGATCACCTGAGTCAAGAATGTTTGGTTTTCTTCAGTTATTAACGAATATTTTACTTACATGTAACGTTACAACTGGCTTTCCCTGTATTAACATGTCATTGGTGTTTGTAGATATAAGCAGTTATTTTTCACCATCAATTATACCAAAAAAGAACTACAGCTGCACATCTCTCACCCGAGAAATGTTTGCTGTCAAATTACAATAAAACAAATTGACATCACTGGTATATTAATATTACTGGTAAATGTATCAGAAAAAAAGGATGCAGAGTGAATGTTGCACCAAAAGGCAGCATGGTGACTGGCTCAACA